ACGCCATTCTGTGTGGTGATTTTGCTAACAGTAGCAGTGGTGGCTATAGTGATACTTCTGGTCATTGCTTGCTCTGTTGCCTGGCTGTCTCTGCACGTTCTGGGACTGTCATACTCCCTCTCTTTTGGTATATGTGCCACCGAAGCAAGCACACCCCCTCTTTTGGGACCAGCTGCAGTTGAGTCAGAGGCTGGCACTTGGAAGTGCTGCTGGGTGTGTGCGGCACCTGTGTGACCCTGCCCTTCCAGCTATGTGCGCTTCTGCTGCCGGCCCTCTACACTGACAGGCGCTGTACAGCCTGTGGTGCCTCTCCCTGTTGTTTACACCGTGTAAAGCCATGTGACCCTGTTGCTTTTCAGGTACTGGAGAGTGGATGCAGGGATGCTCTGAGCTGTATACCCAGCTGCTTTTAATTATTTATTTTCTTGCGGTACTGGGCCTTCACACTGAGTTACATCCCCAGCCCATATTTTATTTTTTATTTTGAGAAAGGGCCTCACTAAGTTGCCCAGGTTTTGAGCTTGGGATCCGTCTCCTCAGCCTCCCAGGGTGCTGGGATTTCAGGCATGTGCTACCACTTCTGGCTGGGTTTTTTTTTGTTGTTGTTTTTTTCTTCAAGACAGGTCCTTGTTGAACTGCCCAGGCTGGCCTCAGACTTGCAATCCTCCTGCCTTAGCTTCTTCAGTAGTTGGGATTACAGGTATGTGTCATTGTACCCAGCTTATAATTAATTTATGGAAAGAAGTTGACATTTTTTAAAAATAATTTTTTTTTTGATACCTGAAGATTGAATTTGGGACCTTGCGCTTTCGAGGCAGGTGACGGCACTACTGAGCTAAGTCTCCAGCCTTAAAATAATTTTTAAAGGCTCTTTCCCTTGAATTTTTCTAATTCACAGTACTTGTTAAGTGAAAGTGCAGCTTGTATAGTAATCGAAGGTGAACACTAGATTTTTGTTATACTACTTTTAATAATTATTGTTGGTAACAGACACTGGCCCCGTTGCCTTGGAATCTTTCTGGCCTTCTCATCTGTGGCAGTGTAGAGTGGTGGTGGCTGCAGTGAGCTGCTGCTTGGTACTGGGGTGCTTACACAGTGGCAGCCACCTGCCTGGGTAGGGCTGAGTGGCTGAAGGCAGCGTATGTGCGCCCCCTGTAGCTTTCTTTCTTCCAGGAGGCTGCACTGTCAGAGTGCAGACCAGCTTCAGCTGCGTCTCACTGCCTGATGGGTCGGTGTGCAGAGCAGTCACGTGGCAAAGGCCAGCGGCAGTTCTGAGGTTTGGCTACTAGGAGGCCTCACGGGACACCAGCAGTCTGCTGCAGCAGCCTAGTGACCAGGGGGAGGTTTGCTTTGCTAGCTCAATGAAGATAAGCTCATTTTTGAAGTTTATCATATTTGAATTACACTCTGTTTAATGAGCATTTATGTAGTACTGGGTGCTGAGTCTCAGAGCCAGAATAAAGTAGTGTTCAGCTGTCGTGTAGCTAGTTTATAAAACATTTGTGACTTTGTATTCTAAGCAGGAAACATCCTGCTAATACTTTTATTAGAGGCTTTGGATGAAAAGGAGAGGAAATGCTTATAAGAATCTGCATTGGGGCTGATTTTGTTTCCAGAAAATGCTGATAGATCTTTGTAATAGAGTGAGTTGCTGGATGACTTGGCTTTGGGCCAAAAACAGGTGACTAGACATGATCACCAAGGAGACCAAAAGATGCAGCCTGTAAGAGGCCTCCAAAGGGTTTTGTTCCTGTGATCTGGAATCCCATTGGCTCGGAGGTGTGGCAGTGGGCAGGAGCCCTGGTGTCAGGCTGGGTCCCCTTGGAAACTTCTGGGGTTGGGCTGTGCAGCTCTCCCCCTGGAGCTTGGTAGAAAACCAGGGGAGATTTGGGGGTAATCTCCAGGTTGTTGTGAGATTTGGCTCTGATCTTTATGCTGCTGCACAACAGGAAATGAGGCAATGTCTTTAAACACGTAGTGTTTATGCAGAACTGTAAATGCCTAAATATGGGTAGCTCTGCAGTTCGCCCTGCTGTGCTGAGGCCTGAGGCCAAGGCTCCTTCCTCTGTTGGCTCTTTGATGCTTAGAGGTCCGTGCTGATCTTAGCATTGGGAGCCCCTGTGCCTATCCAGTGGGGAGCTGTGTGACTGTTGGAAGGGCCCTTGGAGGAGCTGGCTGCATACCTTGCAGGGGGGCTGAGGACGGCTCAGAGCCAGGCCAGCAGCAGCCTGCCTGGAGTGCCAGCTCTCACCTGTTCTGGAAGTGTTGTGAGGAGACTTGGTCTCTCGGGGAAGTTGGAAATCACTTCATGACATGTTAAATACAGCCTGCAAATGTTTAATTTGTTCATGCCTTTTTGCAGGTATATAAATACAATATTTAGGTTTTGAATTTGTAACTATGATCTATCTATATGTGGAAAAACATAAGCAGTTGAACAGTAAAGGAATTGGAGACAGGGTCTTGCTGTGTAGTCCATCCTGGGCTTGAAAATGTGATCTTTTTGCTTTAGGCTCCCTAGTACTGGAGTTATGGGTGTGTGCCACCATCCCTGGGGATTAAACCCGGAGCCTTCAGATTGAGCTACACCCCACCCCCGGTTATTTTGAGACAGGGTCTCACTAAGTTTCTGTGTTGCCCAGGCTGGGCTCCAACTTTTAATCCTTCTGCCTCAGCCTCCCAGTGTACTGGGATTACAAGGATGTGCCACTATGCACTGCTTGAACTAGAGATGACATGTACCAGTGCCATGATGAATGTAATTATTATGTACTGCAAACATGTACTGAGAATAAAAAAAATTTTAAGAAAGCTCTTCCACAATAACAGTCATTTACTTCAGATTCTCTGCACCTCTCCGTCGGATTTAAAAAGCATCCCATAATGTGTGAAGAAGCTGAGACAACTCCTCCCCATGCGGTGAAGGAGCACTGATCCTGCAGTGGTGTGGGTAGTTTAGGGCTCAGGTGGTGTGTAGGATTAGTCAGCTGATGAGTATCTTGTATTACCCTGCAACTGGACTGAGCCCCAGAGGTCCAGAGTCCTGCAGAGAGGGTGGCAAAGGAAGGCTAGGGGAGCCTCAACCCCAGGTCCCTGCTGAACTCCCTGACCCAGGAGTCCGAACACATTGTGCACCTGCATTTTCGAGCACCAAGCCTTGGAGACACAGCCAGTTAGTAGGAAACTGTATTTTGTAGTCAGTACAGCTGAGGGTGAACAGTCAAGCCAGTCACTGAAAGCTCAGGGCTGAGACCCGAGGTTGCTCCTATTCTGCAGTGGAGGGATCATGTCATGTAGTGGAGAACATCAGCCTGTTACTTCTCCTTGGAAAAGTCCCCCAAGTGGACTTGACCTTGGATGACTACTGACTGCAAAGAGAAGAAGTAGGAGTCGGCAGTGGCAGGCTCATCCCTCTGGCAGGTGACTGCATCCCGTTGAGCCTCATGTTCTTGGCCCGTGGACTCAGGTGGAAGCTGGGACCTCTCCGCCAGGGAAGTGAGTTTGTGCATGCTCAGTGGTGACCTCAGGATGCCCGTTAGCTCTCCAGCCTCGAGGTACTTGTGTTCTTGCCCTGGAAAATTGGTCTTGGTGACCTGCTTCTAATTGAGGTAAGAAAAGATCACACATTCAGACAAGCGGCTTTCAGTCATGCTGCTTCGGCTGCAGCTAAGCCAGCACCTCCTGCTCTGCCCACAGTGGGTGTGGAGCAGTGGCTGGGTATGCAGCGTGTGGTGGTGCCTGTTCTTGAGTGCGGCAGCTCTGCTGCTCCGCAGCCTCTTCCAGGTGGACTGGTTTCAGTGATGTGGATCTGGGTGCTCGGCTTGTCATCAGTGTCACTCCACTGTGTGCAGCAGGGCATCAGTGGGGTACAGATGGCATAGGATGCTGGGGTTCTTTGTGTGGCTGTTGATCTCATGGGGGAACTGCTTTATCAGAGTGCAGGAGAAAGGACCCTCATGAACTTTGCTGTAAAAACTGTAAAGTTTAGACAGGAACATAAAGTAGGAATACCTGGTGCTCAGTGAGCGGGATGATCTGCCCCTTGTTTACAGTAAATAATTAGCTGTAGAATTGAGGGAAAAGGTGATCTGAGAAAAGTTGTGGAGTATGAGATAACCAGGTGGATAGAGACCTCACTGGGGTGAGGTTCTTGTTCTATGCAGTCAGGAGCCGACCTTGACTTTCTGGCTTCTCTGGATGGGGTTCAGTTAGCCGAGGATAGGCAGGGCCTGACACTTGAATGTGGTGCTGGCGAAAGAGCCCTGCCTCTCGGCCCCGGGAACCGTCCTGTGTGGAACTGCCCTCCTCCTGTGAGCAGTCATCGGGGATGCATCCACTGGGAGCCCTCTGGGGTGGTGTCTAAAAGAGACTCCATAGTGTGGAGCCCATGAGCTCACTGCACCCTCTGTGCTCCGTCCTTCCGTTCAGCTCAGTGACGACTGAGCAGCTGACCAATCTGATGAGCCACATGAGATAGCAGTAGTGGTTTAGGAAACATTTTGTGGGTGGTTTTGTTTTCAGGTACATAGGATCTCACTGTGTAGTTCAGGCTGGCCTTGAACTGCATTTGGTCTGCCTGCCTCAGCCACTTGAGTTTGGGTGTATGCTTTTTGTATATGGTGTTTTTCAAATATTCTACTTTAAATGGAGATCTGGGGCCTTTTTTTTTTGGTACTGGGGATTGAACTCAGGACTTTGTGCTTGCCAGGCAGGTGAGGTGCCACTGAGCTACATCCCCAGCCCTGGGGCCTTTAATTCTAGACTTAATTCTTGTCCAGGATACTAATAAAAACTTTTGAGCCAGGCATGGTGGCACATAGCTGTAATCTTGGCAGTTGGGAAGCTGAGGCAGGAGGAGGGCTGGGGCTGTAGCTTAGTGTGAAATCCTGGGTTCAGTCTCCAGTATTATGTGTGTATGCACATGCGTGCGCACACGCACACACACCATACAGCTTTTATCTGGGAAATATAAGTTGCTCCTGATTATTTTTTCTCTTTAGGATTCACAGATGGAGTCAGTGGAAAAGACGACAAATAAAAGTGAACAAAAATCAAGGTAAATAAACTCAGGTCTACCTTCAGGAGGGTTTTTTGTTCTCATGGAGAATCTGTCACGAGGCTGCAAAGACAAAAGTGAAATATGAAGTCGGGGCAGGCTGGACCCTTCCAAGCCTGGTTACACGGGCAGTCTGGGAGGGGAGAGCATGCCTGCGGGCGGGTGGGCCGCCAGGCTGTTGTAGAGTGGTGGGAGAAGGGCTGGCTACTCAGCAGGCAGTGGCGTCTTAGCTGTAGCTGCCAGCAGGGATTCTTTTGTTTTGATGAGCAGCTTGAGGAGGAAGGGAGGCCCAACTGCCCGAGTCCTTAGCCTCCTTAGCAGAGCGAGGGTAGAGCAGCAGAGTAAACCCCCAGAGCAGGAAACACACAGGCTTTGTCTGCTGCTAGGGTACAGAGAGGACAGAGGGGATGGATTGTGTGCATCAGGGCTGCTGGCTTTGACCTGAACATTACAACTGTTTCCAGACTTGGGGTCACAGTGCTTCTGTGTTGATTCTTAGTCTTCCTGTCCCTTATGTTGAAGCAGAAAGTTTTTAAAAAGCCTTGTCCGGAAGCAGCCCCAGGAGCTGCTGCTGGTCATTGGGACTGGTGTCAGCGCAGCAGTGGCCCCGGGCATCCCTGCCCTATGCTCGTGGCGCAGCTGCATCGAGGCCGTTATCGAGGCTGCAGAGCAACTGGAGGTGCTGCACCCTGGGGATGTCGCCGAGTTCCGGAGAAAGGTGATGAAGGACCGGGACCTGCTGGTTGTGGCCCATGATTTGATCCGGAAGATGTCACCTGTGAGTCTCAGACGAGGACTTTAGAGCCCATGGGAACAGCTTGGGTCTGGACCAGGCTGGGGGAACACATAGGGTTCATTCCACAGCATAGTTGGGCTGGTGCAGGATGTCACCGTTTTCCCATGTTGGTGTCAGGTGGCCCCTGTGGCTCCAAAGCAGCCCACAGTGAGTGGCACTCCGCTGGCTCAGGGTGCTGTCACACATGTGTGCTGAGATTTACTCAGCACCAGGTGTCCTGTGGCTGGTCACGTGTCAGGCCAGCCACGTTTCTTCAGGTGGCAGCTGCTCGCTCAACATGGAGAAGGCAGCATCTGCCTCCTGAGCTGGCAGCAAGGAGTGCAGTTGGTGACACCGGGATAGTCACTGAGCGGTGTCCTTGAATTGGGTCTGGGCGGGGCGTGGGCTGGGCCTCAGGCCACAGTTGTCATGGGCCAGCCCTGGTGGCGGGAGGCAAGTGCTGGGAAGCCAGGCCATGTGTGTGTGGTAGAGGCTGGTGCCAGTGTCTCCTTATTGCCCGTGTCTGGCCGAGGAGCCTGTGGGTTGGGTAGATAGGGACAGGGACAGGGACAGGGATGGCTGGGGAGTGAGGGCTGCTGCATGGACCCCAGAGCTGTGGCTTCAGCGTGATAGCGATTCAGTTCTCACGTGGAAATTCAGGCAGCACGGGGGGTAGAGCCTGGTGGTGTTGGGGACCTAGGCTCCCCCTTGCTCTGCCGTCTTCAGCCTGAGCTCCCACCTTGTGCCCAAGGTTAGCTGCCCTGCCCCTGCCGTGCATGTGTGCGTGTTCCTGCCTGTGGGCAGGGAGGGTGACAGGGCTGTGGTGGGAGTCAGCCCCACCCATTTCCATCCCAGTCTAACCCTGCCCTTAACAGTCTGGGAAAGGCTGTCAGGTAACCAGGGCAAACACAGTGTCCTGTTACTCAGGGTTGACCACCGTCACTGGGCAGGGCTTGGCACGTACAGCTGGGGCCAAGCCTGGAGTGCCACCTGCTTTTGTGAAGCAGGTTCTGCTGGCACATGGCCACACCCTTCTGGTGACACTTTGTCTTGCCTGCTTTGGTGCCCAGTGGCAGAGCTGAGTAGCTGTAAGAGACTGCAGCTCATAGGCCTGATGTGTTTCCTCTCTGGTCCTTGGTAGACAGAGTGCTGGCCCTGATCACAGGAAGAGGAGGGAAACAGCTAATGGGCCAGGGCAGCTGGTGGGATGGCTGGGCATGAAAGGCCCTTGTCCTTCATCTGCAGAGAGGCCAGCTGCCTGCTATAGGGCAGGGATGGTGAACCTGTGGCACATGTGCTGTAGTGGCTGTCTGTATCACTGAAAGCTCTAAAAGGTTTGCCATCACTGCTCTAGGAGATGTTCTTTATGTTTTTGCAAACCTGTCAGGAAGAGTTAAGGTGTGGGTGGTCAGCAGGGTTGGGGACAGGCTGGAGGACTGGCTTCCTTGGGGAGTCGCAGTGACCTCAGTGAGCAGGAGAGGCGAGACTTGAGGGGTGAGCAGCGTGTGTGGGGTCCTGGTGTGTGGCCTCAGCGGGGTTTCCCGCCTTCCCAGCTAGAGGCACAGATTGAAGGGAGGCTGGCCAGAGGTTCCAGAAATGACCCTGCTCTAGTCCTGCTGAGGGCTGGTGTGGATGGCTGAGGCGGGTGCAGACATGTTGGGGAAGACCGATGGGAAGGAATTTCTGGGCCAAAGTGCAGAGCACATGCACATGGCCTCAGAGTCTCCAGGAATGAGGACAGAAGTGTGGCTGGGGAGACTCAGTGGGAGCCAGGGGCCATCCCGTCCTCCCTGCCCTCCAGTGTGTGGGGAGCACACCTAGGGAGGCCCCAGTTGTTATAAACTCTTTTTTGAACTACTGAGCCTGCAGCACCCAGTGTAGTTCCACCTGGTAGAAACAGTCATGACTCTGTTCCCTCTCCCGCAGCGCACAGGCGACACCAAGCCCACCTTCTTCCAGGACTGCCTGATGGAGGTGTTTGACAGCCTAGAGCAGCACATCCAGAACCCACTGGTGCTGCAGTCCATTCTCAGCCTCATGGACAGGGGCACCATGGTGCTCACCACCAACTACGACAACCTGCTGGAGCTCTTCGGGCAGCAGCAGAACAGGCCCATGGAGTCACTGGACCTGAAGGACAAGACAAAGGTGGGACAGGCAGCGAGAGGGCTGGCACCCAGCAGTGACTCTGGGATGAGGAAATGTCCCTGACGCCCACAGGGAACAAGACACCGAGTTTGTCCAGAAGGCCATGCCAGCCACCTCCGGCAGCCGGGCCAGGAGGGTTGTGCCCTTCACCTCTGCACTGCTCCACTCCTCTTCCTGCCAGCTCTCACTTTCTTTCATGCTCTGGCCTGGAGGGCTTTGAGGCCCACCTGCATGTTTTCATTACAGCCACCCTGGGAGATGTGGGGAATAAAGTAACTAATAAGGAAGAGCAAAACAACCCAGCCCTATTGCTGCAAAAGCAAAACACCCCAACTCTATTGCTGTCATTTTTTTTTTTTTTTTGGTGGTACTGGGGATTGAACCTAGGGTCTTCACACTGAACTACATCTCAGCCCTTTTTATTTTTTCATTTTGAGACAGGGTCTCACCAAGTCACTGAGTTGCCCAGGCTGGGCTCAAGTTTGCGATCCTCCTGCCTCAGCTTCCCAGAGTGCTGACATTATAGATGTGTGTCACCATGCCTGGTCATATTTTTTCTTTAACAATCTAGCATTTTTTCTTCAACAGTCCTGTAATCCCAGCACTTGGGAGGCTGAGGCAGGAGGATCACCATAAGTTCCAGGCCAGCCTAGGCTACACAGTGAGTTCAAGGCCAGCCTGAACTGCACAGCAAGACCCTGTCTGGAAAAAAAGAAAAAAGAAAAAAAACAAAGCCGAACAGAACAAATTTGGATTGCAATTTATGCAGTTTTTTAGTTCTAATTTTTTCCTTATTATACTGGGCATATTCCTGTCACTAAGCTGTTTTCAAAAGTGTGATTTTTAAATGGCAGTAGGAGTCTAAGACTAAATTATAATTGTTCCCCTTCCTTTGTTCTTGTTAGTATATTTTTTACTGGTATAAATAACACTGCAATGGAAATCTTTAAATTTTTATGTTCCCAGGTTTATTTTTTCAGGATAAACTCCTAGTAGTGTTTCCTGGTCAAAGGGTATGGTGTTTTAGAGACTGCTGGTATGAATTACCTAGCTGTCTTCCAGGATTACCAGCTACACACCCACAGCTGTGTATGGGAGTGTCCATTTCCTGTCACTTGGTCAACATTCTGTATCATGAAAAAAGTGAAGGGCTGGGGATTTAGCTCAGTGGTTCCGCCACCTGCCTCGCAAGCGCAAGGTCCCAAGTTCAGTCCCTGGTACCAAAAAAAAAAAGTGAAATATTCTGCTGGGCACAGTGGCAAATGCTTGCAATCCCAGCACTTGGGAGGCTGAGGCCGGAAGATCGACATGAGTTGGAGGCCAGCCTGGGCTACGTAAGAAGATCCTGTCTCAAAAATATTCTTCACCCATTTGATAGGTGGAAATCTAAAATTTTTCTTTTTACTACTGAGGTTGAACACAGTCTCATTGACCATTTTTTTTTTTTTCTTTTCTTTTTTTTCTGGTACTGGGGATCGAACTCGGGACCTTGTGCTTGCCAGGCAGGCGGTGGAACCACTGAGCTAAATCCCCGGTCCTTATTGACAATTTTCTTTGTGGACATGTTTGAGTCCTTTGTGTATTTGCTTATTTTCTGTCATTGCCACTGGTGCTGTCTGTCACTCAGCTGCAGCTCCATGTGCTTCCCTTCACGGCAGCCTCTCCCAGAGTGGCCTTGGCCCCAGCTGCCTGTCGCAGAGGCATGCATGGGCCATGGCTCTGGCAGGAGCACTGTGGGGGTGTGGCCCTCTGGGGAAGTCAGTGGCTCCATGTGAATATCAGGCAGCGACACAAACGCCCACTACTCCTCTGCCTGTCCCTGTCCCCCAGCAGGCTGTGAAGTCCTCATGCCCAGAGAAGATCACACAGACCTGTGCATCTTGTAAAGTGCTTTGCTTTGTGTCTTGAACTGAGATGGATATAGTTGGCCATTTGCTGAATACGTTTCTGTCCATATATACTTGCCCTTGATGTAAAAAGAACACTTAAGCGAAATGAAAAGGCAGTATAGAACTTAGAGGGTTCCCACCCCTTTCCCAGCAAGCCCTCCTACCTGAGACAGCAGGCTGCCAGGAAGTTCTCACGTGCTGTGCCAGGAATAACGTGCCCACAGCGGAGTGTTGGGAAGATATACTTAGCATGGAGACATCTCACTCTCCAAGGTGGGCTGCAGAAGCTGAGTTAGATGTTCGCTTTTCCTGTCCATTTGAAGTAACACCAGGCAGTGTGTCTTCATCTTGGCTTGGCTTTGCTAGGTCCTCCAGTGGGCGAGAGGCCACATCAAGTATGGAGTTCTCCACATCCATGGCTTATACACTGATCCCTGCGGGATGGTGCTAGACCCATCAGGATACAAAGACGTCACTCAGGATCCGGAAGTCATGGTACGGCCCCTCTTCCTTAAGGCCTCCTTGCATCCACTGGGGAATCTGGTGGCCACCAGCCCTTTGGCTGCAATCTGCGTGGTTGCCTGGTCCTTGTAGCAGGCCCGCTCATGATTGGGGACAGGGCCGTGTCTCCTGTTCTGGCTGCATCTCTGCCCTGGTGAGGTGCCTGCGTGTAGAATGTGCTCTGTACACACTTGCTCAGGAAAGGAACGTGTGACTTGAGGGCCTGGGTCTGTCGCCCCTCAGTGCCATATGTCCACCCCTCTCTGTGTAGGCAGGCAGCCAGCTGTCAGGAATCCTCTGCTTAGGGTGCCTATCGGGCTCTTCAGCTTCTAGAACTGGCTTCAAAGCACCATTGTCTGTGAGGCTCTCTTGCTGCCTCCCCGGAACAGAGTGTATTAGAGCCATGTGTCTGGCTCCTTCCCAGTGCTTCCATCCTGCCACTTCACTTGGGCCTGTGGGCCTCCTTGGCGCTCCTCCAGTTGTGGCATGGGGACAGGCACATGTGGCACATGGGCGGCAGGCTGGGTAGGAAGCCCTGTGCTACAGCTGGAACCTCACCGAGATGTGTGGGGGCCTGAATCTGACTGTCCACTGCTCACAGAGCGAGCCCTCTGCTCTGTGCGTCCCTGTGCCACCCCTGGTGTCACAGGCACTGCTGCCCTCCTCAGCTCTCCTGCCCTACTTCCCCAAACCCTGTCCACTCTTCCCTAGGGACAGGTTCCCGTCTGATCACTGAGGCAGATGTAGTTTCCAGTGTAACTCTAGAGGAGTGGGGCCCGGTGGCTGGCCATGCTGTAAGGCGCATTCGGCAGCTGCTGATTGGTCACTGCCCTGGCTCGGCTGGGCAGAGGCCCCTAGTGCTCCGAGAACTGGTCACCACAGATGGCTGCCTGGGGTGTGTCTGAGTGCTGCGGCCAGAGTACACTCCTTTCTATCCCCATTCCTCAGGGTGGCCCTTACTGCCGAAAGCACCTATGTGTAACTTTGTGTCAGTCGGAAGTGCGCAGTCTCTCATCCCTCTCGTCACCCCATTTCCTTCCCGGCCTCACAGGAAGTCCTGCAGAACCTGTACTGCACCAAGTCCTTTCTGTTTGTGGGCTGTGGAGAGACCCTTCGAGACCAGATATTCCAGGCCCTCTTTCTTTACTCGGTGCCGAACAAGGTGGACTTGGAGCACTACATGGTGGTGCTCAAGGACAACGAGGACCACTTCTACAAGCACCAGGCAGACATGCTTTTGCACGGGATTAAAGTTGTGTCCTACGGGAACCACTTTGACCTCTTTCCGGGATATGTGCAAGACCTCGCCACTCAGATCTGCAAGCAGCACAGTCCTGGTATGGAGTTTGTCTGCACTTTCCAAGTTCAGAGTCACGGTGTCCTAGTCGTCTTTGAACATATCATCACCATACCCTAAATTCCTCAATCTTGTACTTACTGTGCTTTATAAGTGCCTCTGTGAAATTTAAAATTAGAAGGCTGGGCTACATGGTGTGATAGGAACAGAATTCAGAATTTAATTTTGTTTTTCATTTGAGACAGAGTCTCACTGTGTAGTTCAGGCTGCCCTTGATCTCATTGTGTAGCCCAGGTGGGCCTTGAACTTACAGCGATCTTCCTGCCTCAGCCTCCCGACTACTGGGATTACAGGTGTGGCCACCACAGCTGGCACAGAATTTAAAAGTTTATAGCTGTGGACACAAAACCTGTGCACACAATACATTTGTTCATGTGTCAGGTTACCTTAACAAAGAAAGGAAGCCTCCAGGCCAGTTTTATCAGTTGTGACTCTTCAAGCACAGATCTCTTATTACTTTAATCGTGTCACTGTGTCTTCAAGATTACAATTTGCAGAGTACAGAGTGATTTTCTGAAGACTGATTTGTCCATTTTCCCTGTTCCAAATTACACTCCCTGTCCTTTCACCTGGGGATTGTTCATCTGCCAGGAATACTTCGCAGACCCAGGTGTCTAGACAAGAGGGAGTTAATGGCTTTTGAGTTCGGGGTCATAAAACGTGGATATCAGCCAGCATGGAAAGTTGTCCTGCTTGTCCTTTCATGGCAACAGGAAACGGGATGGAGGAGGAGAGCCTGGAGACCAGTTGGGACAGGAAGACAAGTGCAGACATTGGTTTTACTGCAGGCATCTGCATCTCAGTGGCTAATGATAGCACAGGGCTGATTTCCATTGCCTAAGTTTTTGGGGGGCAGTTGTCAGTTCTTCCTGGGGTGGAAAAGGGAGCCTTGCTCGTTGAGCTCCTGTGTGTCACATCCTTGCCCTTGCTGGGTTTCTGTTAGTAGCAGTAGCGGATGATTTAGAGATGGAGAGACAAGCTCAGGGAGGGGAAGAACTTGGCCCGTGGGTGCCCAGGCCCTACACAGAGCAAATGCACTGTTGAGTGTTCCCGGGTACCAGTCGGGGTGCAGCTCTGCAGAGAGGAAGGGAGTGGTCCTCACTTTTGCTTGCCACTGCCACCAATGCCTCTGTACCTGTGACCAGGAGCCCCTCTGATCCCTCACTGAGACCTTTTCCAGGCCCCTGTAGCTGAGTGCTTTCCAAAGCTGCATAGAACTGGAAGGCCACTGGGAGTTTTAGTCTGTTGCCATGTAGTATAGTCCCTCTCCTGGCAGGAAACACCTGGTGACCTTGACAGTGATGTTTGTGATGCTGGGTATGATGTGGTGTTCCTGTGTGCCACCTGGAGTCACCAAGTCCTCACATCAGCCCTGCGAGGTGGACAAGAGGGAAGTGACTGGCCCAGGGTGCCAGGGGAGTGCGTGCTTCAGCTGGCATGGAAGCCTGCTCAGCCCGTGGCTGACCTCAGAGCGGCCTCACCATGGTCCCCACTGGCTGGAGCAGGAGTGCTACTGAACCACTCTCGGTTCTGCTGACTTTTCTTTCTTCCCAGATGCCGAGCGAGTGGACAGCACCACATTACTGGGTAAGGAGATCTTCATTTTTGTCAGCCTGTTTTTGCTTCCGCATTCCCTTGTGTCTTCCTGCCCCTACTTATAAAATTGTGAAAGTGTTTGTCACATTAAATAAGAAGCCTGCACTGAACAGCCCTGATAGAGGATGCACTGTACAGCACAGCGGAGGGACCCACATCTACCCCTTCCTGGGGAAGCACAGCTTGGTTATGCAGGGTCTGTGTGCTGGCACCTGACAATAAGTTCCGTCCTAGAACCCAGAATCCAGGACTTGGAACGAGGCTCCGCTCAGCTTGGGCCATTCAACACAAGGCTCGGGAACCTCAAGTGACCTGGCCCTTTAGATATCCGAATTGCAAGGGTCCAAGCTTTCCTGTAAACATTTTCCAGTTGTGCTTGCTTGAAATGGGAATGTTTTTGGGGCTCAACTCTTGCCTATTCATAATTGAAGACTCAGCAGTCCTGGTGTCTCTTGGGGATGCTGGGCAGCAGGTATCTCCAGGTCCTACACCAGGGGTTGGGAGGGGCTCTGCACCCCTGCCCAGCCTGTGGGCAGCATCTGCACGCACATGTGTGTTTGGTTCAGCCCAGGAATCAAAGCAGCTGTGCTTGGCTTACCTTCTCCACCCTACTTCATGAGAAGGCTCTAGTTTTTCCTTAAATGTGGCTCAAAATATTTTTTTAAAGCAGTAACTCAATGGTTACAATCTGTAGTGTATGGCAGAGATCATTTGCCAGTGCTTCAGGAAGGTAGGATTTAGAAGTGGGCCCTTGGGGTGGATTCTAGAACAGAGTAGCTTTTTAATAAGTTGTTGCCTTTCAGGAAATGCATGTCAGGACTGTGCGAAGAGGAGGATGGAAAAGAATGGAATGGAAGCTCCCAAAAAACTCAGACAACCAGATACAGGTATTGGGTGGTGGTGTTTGGGAACCTGTCTCCAGTTTGTCTTGCTGGTCAGTGTTTTCAGTTACAAAGCTTCTCTTTAATGATCCTGGTCCCTTGATGGGAGGAATGGCACACACTGGGTCAGAATCAGAGCACAGGGAGGGTTGGAATGGATCCTGACCGCTCACACCAGATGCTGAGAGGCCCCTGGTGTCTGTGTTATCACAGGAGCATGCACTGAGAAAGTGAGGTTTGCGGGACAGGTTGGCGATTGTCACAAATGAAGATGCCCCAGGGTCACAGCCGCTTGCAGCACTGTCCACTTGTGTCCTTAGCTGCTAGAGAAAACCAGATCATTGAGACCGCTGTCACTAAGTTTTACTTCAACTATTTTCAATTTCTTTGAACTGTTTGCTTCAGCAGACTCCCTCTGCTGACACTAGGAAAGATGACCTGACTCCCTCCGGCTGTTCCCCTTCTGCTCTCCTCCTTCCTGGGCCGTGTGTTGTTCTGAGCCCCTCAGCACTGGGAGGTCCAGTTGCCCTGCCTTCCCACAGCGCCCCCTCTGCCACTTGCGGACCCTGGCCCATGCACTGTGTGTCCCTCACATGGTTACAGGACAGAGGAAGGAGGACGCCTTTCTGTCTGGAGGTCAATTGTGAATGTTGGAAAATAAGCACTTCCTTGGTTAGAGTGTGCATGTTCATCCCCGTGGGAGCTGTGTGTTGTGTTAGGGCCTGGCCAGGCCTCCGCCAGGTGCAGGATAACACTCAAGGTCAAGGTCAGCCGTGGCTTCTCCTTTACATTCCATTTTGCCATTCTTCATTGTTTGATGTGGAGACCTGGATTATCTCTTCGATCTTCAATGTTCTGTCTTCCAAGAATTCATAATAGAGTCTCCTGAGTTATTTCCACCATCTTTTTTTTCTTGACTCTTAATTTTCATTTTTCTCCCCCTTTTTTTTTTTTGGTACCGGTGACCGAACTCGGGTCCTGGCGCTTGCGCAGCAGGCGGCGAAACCACTGAGCTAAATCCCCGGCCCTAGACAGTGTGATTTTAAATGTGAGAGGCTTTGTTTTCTGATTAAATGTTTATCCCACTAGCATTTGTTGTTTAGAACTGCAGTGTCTTTCAGATCTCTGGAGAGCCAGAGACTACCCTGGTCACCTGACTCCATTCCTGAAAACACTGGCCAGAGGACCTTCAGAGAAGAGTTGTTCATGTTTTACCAATCAATTTTTGTAGGAAAACCTCAACAGGATGCCTTTCAACACTTGTATAACAAGCCACCAAGGATCCGTAGGGCTTTGAAACATTTAATGTTGTTGGTGGCTTACTTGAACATTCCAAGGTGCTCCTCCCAGGCTGTGTTCGAGGAGCACTGAGATAATGGTTGAAGATTCCTAATCTGAAGTCCTTCAGAATCTGAAACTTTGTAAGCATCAGATCAGAGTTCAGAGTTTGAGATTTTGGAACATTTTGGATTTCAGCTTTTCAGATTAGGGAGGTTCGTCTCCTTAAAGTCCGCAAATTTTCCAAAAGCTGAAAAAGTCAAACCTGAAACATTTCTGGTTCCAAGCATTTTGGATAAGGGCTACTCAGTCTGTACTACATTTCCCTTTTTGTTTTTTTTTTTCCTTTCGGTACCAGAGATCAAACTCAGGACCTTGCACTTTTGAGGCAGGTGCAGCATCTCTGAGCTAAATCCCTGGCCCACTACATTTCCCTTTTATGCCAGAAGGAGCACACACAATTGAGGTAACCTGTTAATAGAGCCAAAGTGAATGCAAATAACAGAGTGAAATAAAAGAAATGAGGTCATCTGTTAAAACAGTCCCCTGCAGCACGAGTTGTTGCTGGTGAGGGTTGGTGGCAGGCATCCAAGGCCGTAGTGTCCTGCTGTGCAATTATGAATGAAGTAAGGGTCTGAGGACACTGTGTAGACCTTATGTCCCTGGAGGGTGAATTCATTTTTTGATAGTATTTTGGATAAAATTCTTGGAAATCTTTTAGCAGATGTTTGGATTGTGCGTTCAGCTGGTAAGGACATCGGTAACTCGAGAGAAACTAATGCTCTTTGTGTCCTCAGGGCAGGTGGCTCTTTTTTTGCAGTCCCTTTCCTGTTGTTCTCATTGCCGGGGCTCCCCGTTGGCTGCTAAGGTGAACGGTGTGGGCAGAGGTTATTATACCACTGTAGCCTGTTCCTGAGCAGTGTGGCTTCAGATGGTGGGGCCTCTTGCCTGGCAAATGTTGCTATGGAGCAGTGGACAGGGATGCCCTTCGAAAATACCAGGACCCACACTCCCAGGCAGTTGTGCCTAGGGAAAGCCTTGGGCCTCTGTTGTGCAGGCCACACCTCAGCCTTCAAGGCAGGTGCAACACCACCTGTTTGGTGTGCTGCACAAGCCTTCATTCTTCCCCACCCTCCGGCCACCAGGAAAATAGCATCCATGTGTTAAAAGATTGCCACCGATTTTACACACCTGTGTCATTATTTTCAGGTCCTGATGGTATTTATAACACGCAGGCCCACTTCTGCACCATGGCTACTATTTCCATTAGGGAGGGTTTGCAGAATCTTTAGCTCATAAGACACATTGTGAACTGGTTTCTGATAGCAGTCTTCTTGCGAGTATAGTACTTTTTTAGCTGAATTTTAGCTTTTGGTATTTCTTTTAACAGACAATGCTGGAGGGTCTTGAGATCTTTAAGACCAGTTAAAACCTGCAGCTTGAGAACCAGCCTTCTGTAACCAGTGCCATGCCTAAGCAGTGAGGAGCATTCCAAGGCCTGCACCCAGATCGAGTCCTAAGCCGTCACGTGCCTCCAGAGCCACATGGATGCGTGGCCTTCAAGGCTGGGTGTAGAGCTGTGTGCTTAGCTGCTGGGAGGTGACATGGACACACTTCAGGTACACTCTAAGGACTGATGAATGGCTACCTCAGGGACCAACTTGTGGGAAGGGATGTACCTGACATCCAGTTCCCGTTTGATCTGCTGTCTGCATCAGGATGGTGTTTTTGCTGATATAGGGGAGAGTAAAGATCATCCAAGCAACAGTTGTTGCCAAAGAGAAAGGAAGAACTGCACAGACACCTCTATTTGACAAGTTTCCATGTGGAAAGATGTTACTACAGAAAGCATCTTAAACATGTTTGTTACATTGGTAATAGTAAAGAGGCACTGAATCTGTTGAAAATGGTTTTTAGCAGAATGACACAATCAGTAGGGCCCTGGAGTCACATCGTCTCGTACCACTGCTCCAGGGGAGGGCAGGCCTGGGATTGCTAAGGAGCCTGAGTGCAGAGCCAGGGCCTCTGCGGCAGCTGTCAGTGCTGTGCACTCCCACTGTGGAGCTGAGGCTGGGGAGGTGCAAGTGGGCACAGACAAGGTTTTAGATTTAGATTGTAGATTCTGAGCTTTCTGAGTCTTCATTTTTTGGGGCAAGGTCCCACCTTTTTGTTCTTCTCTCAACTTCTCTCCCTTCTCTTCCTCAAGCCAAGGGGATTTGCACAGAGCAAGGTAGGCAAGCCTTGTAAAGGGCCCGCCATGCTTGAGGCATCTTCAGGGCTCACCCTGGGGAGGCAGCTGTGCTGGGTGCTGCGGTTACGCAGGGAGGCCCCTGCTGGAGACCAGGCGGAGGCTCACATGGCACGCACACAGCAGGGCATTAAAGTGAAGCCTCTCTCGAAGTAAGCAAGCCCTACACAGGTTCTGTTGTCTGCTCATCTTCCCTGGCACACTCCCAGAGATGGCATGGTTGTTCCCACGGCCACCGGGAAAATGAAGAACAAGAAATGGGAGGTTGGGCCGTACAGAGGTGAGAGAAGCCAGAGACAAACCGGAGACCTTTCTCCCTCCTTCCCCTTTTGAAGCATGGAAAGAAATCTGTGTCACTCTGGTCATAAATACAATTTTAATGGAAACCCTGTTTGGTCAACTTTTTTTCAGTCATGACAAGGCTTGGCATACTGCAGTTAATGAGAACTTTAGCTGGAGTTGCCACTCAGTTATGAAGTTGAGTCAGTGATTACTTCTGAATATTTAAATTTTTAAAAAGCCAAACAGTTACTTTTTAAGACACATTTGCAAACTGCAGTCAGGGATAGAGATCTGAATTGGAAAGTTGGCACACACATGAAGGCGTTGTGCAGGGCAAGTGAAACTCAGAGAAGATGGCAGTGCCCAGCAGAGAAGCTCCGAGTGAGGGGCCTGGACCACTGCAGGGAATGAACAGATCCCGAGTCAGTTCTGGTGTCAGTGCGTGTTCTGAAGTGCAGGTTTATTCTAATACGGTTGATGGATTAGAACCACCCTGGGCTGGGGATGGAGCTCAGTGACTGCACGCTTGCCTTGGAAGCATGAGGCCCATGGCTTCAGTCCCCAGGACCATAATCAAGACAAATATCTGAGTACCACGGATTAATGTGTACTTTTGTCAGGGCCAAGTGCCATTTTACCAAAGCTCCTTGAAGCCTCATCAGCCAGAATGTTTAGCCTTGCCCTCCGACAAGTTGGCCGCTCCCTGTCATAGGTATGTGTTAAAGCCCACAAAGCTCACCAGCTCCTTGCTTCCCACACTTTCCGAGCCTCATCCCCGGGATACGTTCACAGAGATGGCAGGGCTTTTAAGATAAAGTGCTGTATTCGTAGTTGTATTTGTGTATTTCTTAACCATGTGATGTTTCTAAAACCAGCTTTTGTTTTTGTTTTTTAATCTTGTTTTTTTTTTTTTTTTTGGTACCAGCGATCGAACTCGGGTCCTTCCGCTTGCGAGGCAGGCGGCGGAACCACTGAGCTAAATCCCCAGCCCTATCAGGTTTTGTTTTTTGCCATACTAGTGACTGAACTCAGGCCTTCACACTGAATTATATCCCTGGCTCCCTGCCTGTTTTTTGGGTACCGGGGACCAAACTCGGGACCTTGCGCTTTTGAAGCAGGTGGTGGAACCACTGAGCTAAATCCCTGGCCCCCAGCCCCCTTTTTTGAGATAGTCTCCCTACATTGCCTAGGCTGGGCTTGAGTTTGTAATCTTCCTGCCTCAGCCTCCCAGAGGGCTGGGATTACAGGCTCTGCCCACTTTATTGATTATGGTACTCAGGCCCATACTTTCATAGCCCTGTGGTTTTGGCTGTGCTTTTGCACAGCATAGTAGGGCATGTTTTGACTGTACACAGAGGGACTGTTGATAGTAGGCATGGTGAATGGACAGCCCGAGGCAGAGGAGAGGAGCTGCACTGAGTTCATGCAGCACCGACATGGACGACTTGGCCTCAAGGGCTGTGGCTTTTGTGGCAGAGGAAGCAGCAGCTGACTGACTGGACCTAACGTCAGTGCCGAGAGGAGGGGCTCCTTGGGCTGGAGCTGGAGCCGCTCCTGGGACTCCTCAGAGTTCGTCCTGTGTTGAAGACAGGCATCTGCACTTCAGGAGGCTTCAGGGTCAGCACTGGCCCAAAGCAGGCTCACAGAGGAGCCCTAGGTTTGGCTGGTCTTGACTGGAGATGGGATGAATGAAGTGCAGGACTTTTGTTTCCACATGGAGCCCTGTATTTACACAAAGTCAGTGAAAGCCTGTGTTCTTCAGTACTTCCTTAACAGAAACTATATTCAGAAACATTCAGACTGCATTAAAACAGACATAATTCAGTTTCATCACAAATTTGTTTTGTTTTGTTTTGTTTTTGGCTTCTAAAACTACACTGAAGACATCTGAAATTAATTATTTTTATTTATATTTTCAAAAGTAACATACAGGCGGCTCTCTGAGGTGATTTTCCACAAGAGCTGAGCTCAAGTCACACCCGTTAACTCGTGTATCTGAAAACCCTGTGTTCCGGGCAGGGGTGCACTCAGCACACACCAGACCCGGGTTTGATCCCAGCACTGTGGACTAGAGCTAGTGTTTCCCTCACACACACCCTCAAAGTGCAGGGCGAGACCGCAGTGAAGATGAAGCTTAGCTGAGCATTTTGATGACAAACTTATTTCAGAAGAGAAGTTAGGATTATGCTACTCGGTGCAACTTAAGAAAAACCAACACTAACTGTCCTAGGAAACTTGATGCCAGAGTGGGGCCGGTTTGGTCCTTAGTGGCAGTGGCTCACCCAGTGGGCAGCAGGGCCTGCTGACTCCAGAACTAGAGGAGGATAGTTGACAGATGGCTCCCACACCTGGGCTGTTCGCAGCACCCTCGTCCTACTGGGGCTGGGGCTCTCGGCGTCCTCTGCTGCCCTGTCCTTCTTCCTTGTCTGGGTAGGGACGCAGATCTAGGGTCAGCACTTGGCTGAACAAGACTCCGTCGTGCTGGAGGGGAGATAGGAATTTGAGTCAGTCTGCTGACGAGGGAAGAGTATGAAAGTAAAGGTGGTAGGCAAGTAGGTTTCAAAAGAAACCTGCTTAGGCTTGAAAGGGTGTCAGTTACCTGCTTTTGTACCAGTTTTGTATTTTAATTTTAATTTTCTGGTATGAGAATTATTTGGGGGGGGTAGTAGTTGCCATACTGGGGACTGAACCCAAGGCCTTGGTACTGACCTACATCCCCAGCACTTTTTATTTTGGGATGGCCTTGCTAAGTTGCCCAAGCTGGGCTTGAATTTGTAATCCTCCTGCTTCAGCCTCCCAGAGTGCTGGGATTATAGGCATGTACCACCATGCCTGGCTGGAATTTCCATTTCTCAGCGTATTTCTAGGTGATCTAATTTTCTGTGGGTACAGGAAGGTAAATTAACTCTTAAAGTTCAGGAAATAAAACCTAACCGTCCAAAGGCCAAATGTCTTGAATTAGTTGCTCTACTTTTAGCTCAGGTAGTATCTGAGTGGCTTGAAGGTATGTTCCACATCTAAGTTCCTGTACCACTGGGAGCTTCCAGTGGATTCCTTTGATTTACCTCAGGGATAGTGATACAGTACATTTGTTTTTGCTTAAAATAATCAGACATTACAGAAACATGAAATACAGGATAAGTCTGCTGTGCGTATGTTAACATCCACTATTTTATAAAATTCTCATTCTGCTCTGCAGTTTTTAATTTGCTTCTTTCACTTGAAATATCTGTGTACTATCACAGAAAAATATGAGTAGCTACTCTGACTCAAAAAATGACTTGGCCTGTGTTTATCATCTGTGGCCATCTAACAGCATCTCTGAATGCCTCCTGGAGCTGCTGACTGGAAGAAAGCTCCTTGGCTGTCATCGTGAGGGGCTTAGAGGGACCTCCCCCCCAAGCATGCTTTACCTCTGGGTAGACGCCTATCAATGCATCGGCTCTGGAATAGAGCTCTTCTTTTAGGGAGATGATTATCATCTGGAACTGTTCTTGAGTCTGCTCTCTGATGTAACTGGAGACCTGGCAGGAAATAAAAAGCACACATTCTCACCGGGAGGAAAGGCCTGGCTGGGGCTCTGGGGACTGGTTCTGCATGGCTGACTCTGCCACTGTAGGGGACAAGGCACTCACTTGCCTGTCTGGTAATCAGCAAATCCCCTCTCAACTGCAGCAACAGAAAGAACTTCTCCAGTAAGAGGGACGTAAGAAAAATCCATGCTACCTGTGATCTAAGCTTGAACAATTCTGTTTGTGGTGCTGGGGATATCGAACCACCAAGCTCCATCCTAGTCCTAAGAGTATTTTAAAGAATCAAGCTTGAACTTGACATACTATCATGGGAAAATGCACTGGGTCATTCAAATGAGAGGGTGGTCAGGTGTGTTGTGAGGGTGAAGAATGGCTGGTAGCGTCCTGCAGTGCAAGTCAAAGCCTGATGATGGGGGAAACACAGCTACTGTATTTGTGATCACAGTCAAGTCCTTCCCATAGAGGTGACCTTTGGCTCCTTTTGGAAGCTCAATTCCCAGGAAATGAACAACAAAACACTCTGGATAAAAATGAGTCTTGGTGAATGAACTACTCACAACTTGGAGATTGATGTTGAAGAACCTAACTCGAACCATCAAGAATTTAACAAGGTATTACTTGCTTATGCCCTATATTTTTGTGGACCCTGAGAGGGTCTCTGTATGTCTGGGTTGTGACTATGTGACTAACATCAGGCAGGAGCTATGGAAGCAGCAATGCCAATTTCGGGTGAGGGATGGGTCAGGAAAATGCTCGTCTATGAGGCTGAATTTACAGAGCTCTGGCATCAGAGGCCATGGTGGCAGCCACTCTGATGCAGGACCAAGAGCCTTGGGGTAGTGATAGGAAAAGAAAGGCGATAGGAGAGTGATATGGTCTGTACATGAAATGTCCCCAAAGGCCCATCTGTTGAAGGCTTGGTCCCAAGCCTGTGGGACTACTGGGAGGTAAGGGAGCATTTAAGAAGTGGTGCCTCTCTGGGAGTTAGGTCACTGGGGTGAGCTTCTGAAAAGGCTGTCGGAGCCCTGGCCCCTTCCTGTCTTTGCTTCCTGGCTTCCATCATGATGAACAGCTCACCACAGGCCCCAGAGCAGTCAGCCAGTTGGGCATGGACTGAAACCTCCCACAGAGGGAGGCAGAATAAACCTTTCCTACTTTTAATAACAGCCAGCAGTTGCAAAGATGGACAGTGTGCTTTCTGCTCGGAAAGCTACCTGCTGTAAATTCTGGACACCCTGAGCCCGACAGGAAGTGGAGGCTCCTTCATGGTTATGCACTCCACACAGCACACTCAACATGGCAGTGATCTTGAAGGCATCATGGGAATTCTAAGTTTCTGATACACAGGCTGGATATTAACAGGAGTTTGAGACCTACTCCTTAGAATGCAGACATCAAGTACAATCAAGAAAACAGGTAGTCCACACAGACTGCCTCTGTGTCTGTCTGTCCTTCTGAGGGCAGATAGGTGCTGAGTGAGTCAGGCCCTGGAGTCCAGGCAGCTGGCCTAGGAGACAAAAGTCAAGGCTCTGTTTCTGTGTTTTCTTGTGCTTCCTCTGGCTGTGGTGCAGACT